TGTAGTTTACTTCCAGATGAACCCTGTTTAAGTAAAGGTCAATTCATGCTTTTTGTGTCCGCATGTCCTTGACGCAAATCTTGTCATCCACCCAAGTAATCGAGAGTTTGCGCCAACCCATCTGCTGACAACAAAATTTGAGACGAAGCAAACTGTCCGTACTACAAGCGTGCCAGATTTCAATGCTCCAGGAAATCAAATGGTCCTTTAAACCAGTGCTGGTTTTGTGAAGAGGCTGTTTGAGGAGATTCGTATCCACAGCTGTATAATTCATCATTAGAAGAGTTGTAATTGAAGTTGTTGCTGCCATACTTTGGAGCTTCCTGTTTGTACATGCTTTCTATTGATGGAGCCCAAACACTGTAGAAAGTTCGAAATTCTCTAGAATCAAACAGCGCTACAGGATCTGTAACCAGCTCCAACTTCCTGTGAAAAATGCAAAGTCACAGCCAGCTTTTAGAAACATCCATAGCAGCTCTGTCGGGTTTTTTTTTTTTTTTTAGTGTGGAGCAATACAACTGTTTGCATAGCAGACCAATGTGTAGCTCCTTGTAATATGAACAGAACTGCATCAGCTGTCTGCTTTCAAAGTCTGCATCCGCCATGCGGAAACTCTGAATTGGCCTTAACATATGTTAAATTGGATTGATTCCCAATGAATATGGAAACCAGTGAGCTTGAGACTGCATACAGGGTTGGCAGGTCAGGAAGAACTGAGTCACAGAGTAACATATTGCTTTGGCTTTTTCAACGGATTTCTTGACAGTAAGGGAAATATAGAATAATGCTAGGCCCATCCTGGCTTTTCTTCAAAAGAAGACCAAACTATCAAGATGTGTTTTAAATATCAGATATTACATGCTGTTTCCATAACACATTGGTAAGACTGTGTATGTTGTCATAGAGGATTAATTACTATTAATTTCTTGCGATGCTATTTAAGTAGACATTAGCTGAACCAGATGGCATTCAGCTCGTTATGATAAAGCTGAAAAGTGGTGAATGTGGCTAGGATACAGAAATAGTGCTCTAGGAAGCAATGGCAGGTTCCATACAGTATGAGGACACCAATTACATTTAGGAATGAGCTTCCAGAAGAGCTAAGCTAAATATTGATAACTTTGCTGCGAAGCTTGACCTGCCATATAGCAAACTGTTATAGATGTATATCACAACATAATTCTGTCTATATTCGGTAAATTTCTACCCTACGTTTTTGTTAAAAGTGATCATTACAAAGCCTGATAGACTGTTCTGATGTTCACAAAAGGGCTGTTGAGTAACGTATGATTTCCTTAAATGTGAGGGCCAAGTAGAGATTATAAAGGAGTCAAGACACACAAACAAACAATAAAATGGTGGCCACAGTTTCCCATATAAAAACGTGTATCATCAACAAACATTGACACTGCAGTGTGCAAGGAATAAGATCTAGTATACTGGTAACATTCCACTGTTTATTACTGGCCTACTGTGTTCAACTTTTTTCCCTTTTTATTCTTTTTTTAAGAAAATTCTGTCATTAAAAATCTTTCTATATTATATTTTTTTTTCTTAGAAAATATAGAAAAATTAATTTACAGTTATTTTACACATGAAATATCCTCTGGCTTTTGTTTTGGAACAGATATGACTCGTTTTTGTTCTTTTGCAGCACATGGTGTTACAGAATATGCATTGAAACAACAAACATAAGTCACTACAGAGTAGCAAAATCATAATAAAAACAAAAAACGTAGACTCGATACAGGAAAATTAAATACATGCATACATACAATACAGTGCCATGCAAACACAGTCCATTTTGGGAAGTAAATTATTTAAGATTTGCATTTCTTTCCCATTTTTCAAACATTTCATGCCTTCTTGCTATACATACATGACATGGCTTTTACATAATGTGACGCTCACTGCAGCTACTGCAGGAAATATCTTGCCAAAACCTCTATTTCTTAGTAGGGCAATGTCTGGCTGATGAAGTACCAGTGAGAATTCAACACTTTGAGTTACTTTCTTAACCCACAAACGCAGGAAATGTGTTCAAGTAAACAAGTACAAGATTCTTTTCCATATTTGTCTCATTCATAGTAATATACACAAGAAGTGGGTTGAATAGCGATTTTGATAACTAGCGATTTACCACACGAATGTACGCACTCCTTTTGTCAAACATCAACACGTAGTTCCTACTGACATTTGGCCCAGTATGAACACTCTAACCTCCACTCCAGCTGCCCGATTAGCTGCTTTGTGTTACAGCCATTTACTTATTGGTGGCAGCACAAAGAAAAAAGACAGCAGTGTCCCCTCAATGACAGCCCAGCCCAGCCAGTTCCCTAAGAAGGTATTGACTGGCCTGTAATCAGTCACATCTGCTCACATATGGGGCCTCTCTATCACATGCCACCAGCTAAGACCTGCCTGCCAGAGGTCAGCGTGAGATTGGTATCTGTTGGGGCTGCTGACCTTGAGTGTGTTTGTTTTGGGACTGCAACAGAGATTCTTATCAGGCCTTTGGCAGACGTAGATAATACTGTTTACCTTCTGGGGAGATGGCAGCCATTTTGGACTTCTAAGACTGAATATTGAAGGAAGGTATTTGCAGAGGACAACTCGATTTTTTTTTTCTTTTTCTTTTTTCTTTCAGTGGAATGTTATTTGAAGTATTAGGGCAACGTATATTCAGTTCCTAAATGGACAAGACCAGCTCCAGGCCTGCAGGTGGCAGTAATGGTCTTGTACCCTCACTTTTGCAATGCCGAGCCAAAGTGTTGACGTCACTCCCTGGCAAGTTGCTGTTTCAGTAGCTCCTGTAACTTGACAGAATCTGTCACTTTAACTGGTCTGTAGTTTTAATGTCTTATTGTAAGATCAACAAGCGTCTTTTATAGCACTTGCTATTTGCACTTGAACCCGTCATGATTGTAACAAGTTTAAACGATTCATTTGTTAGCATTTAATTTTCTTTCTGGCCTTGAGCTTATAACAAGTCATCACAAGATTTTCAAATGCCTTTCATATCCAGCCTATCAAGTGTTATTATTAATCTTCTATGGTCCTAGGCTTGAGGAAAATGGTGTTCATTAAAGCAGCATTGATATTTTTGTTGACTAGGGGGCAGCAGAAAATTATGTCAACCTCCAAAATGCTGTCAAATGTGCTGTACCAGCATTTGCTTAATTTTACATCCTGCAAATACTGAGCAACATTGGCATTCATTTACTGTTATGTTTTTTAACCACCTGACTGAAGTCCAGTACTCTTTGCTTTCAGTCTCTGCTAATACTAAAGGAAATATCTGCCTCTTTAGCAAATTAAATGGCCCGTAATGCTCACTAGCTTGTTGCTAACTGTTTGTGGGTACTTGGTACGCGGTGTATGGTAAATGTAGCCAAAATAACGAGCTGAAAGAGGCTAAAAGTCTTGGAGGAGCTGAGGGTAAATATCAATTAATTCAGATTTAAAGGCCGTTAAAAACACAAATACTAAGTAGACAATGCATTGTTGTTAATTTTTTTTTTCTTTTTTTCTTTTTTTTTTTTTACAACCCCCATCTAGACAAATGGAGTGGATAGCATGCTCTGGATTGGGGTAGATTTTTAGTAATTTGTGTTTTCCTACTTCTGGAACAAAACCCAGAAGGTCAGGGTTTTCACTTGAACTACCTATACAATTTTCACACTATTCAGTGACTGTGTACTTTACAATAAGTGCCTCACTATTTAATGTAAAGCCTGCATCATAATTTGCTTCACAAACCTGAACAACAGAAAACAGCAATCTTTTAAATTAGTTCCAATAACTGATAGCTTATGGTTGATTTATATGAAAGTTCAAAGTTACGGAAACTGTTTTGTTTTAATAGAAATCTGTCAAACAAAAGTTTCTGTACACTATTTGGCACCACTGCTAGTGTTGAATCACATTCAAACCTTCCAATTTCTCTGACGGTAAGCTTTTGTAAGTGGTTCACAGAGACATTCATACACTCACCGAAACTTTCCCTTGTTATCAATCTGCTAGAAAGTTCCACATTTCAAGCCTTAGAAACACTCATCACTTTTGGTTTTACTGCTCTGGTGCAAAAGCAGTTTAGGATTTACTTAAGTCACACTCTAAGAATCAGTCTTACTGCCTTTTCAAATGCTCTTGCAGCGACAGTCACTTATCACTTCCTCTTCATACGCTGCAGCCCACTGCAGTTCCTTCTGCCATTGCCTTCGACCTTCTATGACCTCTAGAATAAAGCAGAAATTTTTGCCTCCTGCTTATATAAACCTTGACAGTTCTATTCACACGATGCAATGTGCAAGATAATTCTTCATAATGGACACAGTGTATGCCATCTGCCCAGTTCAGCTGTTCAGCTATTTTTAATGTTACAGAAAAGCATGCGGTGTGCTTTGGGCCCACTTTGTCTCTCTTTCCACACATTTTGGTTTTGTTTCTTTTTGCTGCTAACAAGGTGTGAGGAGCAAGGTGCGTGCACAGTCGTCTTTTGCACAGTTTTAGTTTGTACACTTATCGCTCTAACCACTTTCACCAACTGATCTGAGTGTCCTTGGCTTAACAGACTGCTGTGCACCTCACTCACTGGTTTTGAGATGAGGGCTGCAGGAGACGAACATAGAATTGCTAATATTTAAATGGACTAACATACTGTGTGTTTAGGATGTACTTACAGATTTAGCAAGCATACGTTCTGGTAACTAACTTGTTTTTATATACCAAATAGTTGGGAAAGAGCTTTAGAACCATGAGCATGTTGCAGTTTGTGCAAATGAGATACACTGTCCAGATTGAAGGACTGAATGACTGAGCAGTGGGGCTGCACTCGACTCTGGCCAGCTTGGCTGCTATTGTTGGGAGTGACGAGTGCCTACTCCTCAGGGAACATCTCGGACTCCCCTGCACCTCAGGAGGTGCCTCAACATCGGAGGACACCTCTAATCCACCGATAACAGATAACAGAGATATTGACTGCTAAAATTACCAACTACTCAGACGTTTGTCACATGATCAGGATTCTCCCTGACTTCAATGCACTCTATCTCCTCCCGTTCTCTTTCCCTCTCCCTTTCCCGCTCCCTCTCCCTTTCCCGCTCTTTCCGCTTGGCCCGTTTCTTTTTCTTGTGTCTCTTTTTGGACGGCGGGAAGAAGGTCAGGAAGACGGGCAGGATGACGAAGCAGTGCAGCACGGTGCAGCCCGCGGTGAGGAGGGAGCACTTGAACAGTGTGTAGGTCAGATTGGAAGGCACAAACACCAGGGGCATGATCCCGATCACAAAGCAGGATGTGTTCTGCAGGATGGCCGCCCCGTGCTCCTCCAGTGCCAACTTGATGCACTGCGTCCTAGTGTGCTCGGTGGCCAGCACAAAAGTGTACAGGTGTGGTGCACAGTGATCCATGGCGAAGTTGAGGGTATAAATAAGGCACAGGATTGAGATGCTGTCCATGCCGACGTTCCAAAGGGTCATCAAACCCAAGACGCCCAGCTCCACGGACGTAACCGTGAGGATGAGCCAGAAGTTCCCCAAGGGGTTGATGACCAGGAAGAAAGTGAGGATGAGGATGGTGAGTACGCTGAAGCCTGAGGTCAGGATGGGTGAGATGACGGAGGAGCTGTAGCGGTCCATGAACACAAACGTTGGATTAAAGGCAATGAATTTGATGCTGTTGATCAGCATCAAGGGACGAAGCTTTTCTAAAAGCTCTACCACCTCCTCGCGCTTCTTCTCTGTGGTCCGTGCTACCAAGTACATCCGTGAGGCGATAATGTCGTACTCATCAGTCTCGCGGTTCTTGGTGAATATGATGTCCTCAGTGAAATGCTGGTACTCCGGACTGCGCAGGAAGGAACCCTTAAGGATGGTGATGAAGTCGCCTTTCGTTGATGCGCTGACATTCACTACCCGCAGGTAGTGGAAAAAGTTGTCCATCCAGGAGATCTTGTTGAAGCCATGACTCAGAGTCTTCAGATGCTCCTGCACCGTGGAGTTCCAGTACTCGATGGGCTCGTAAATATAAAACCCAATCACAGGACTGTAGTTACTGAAGTATTTCTGCTGGGTCAAAGCGTATGAAACACTCGGAGAGTTACTAGCCAACAGGTTCACGATATTTGATCCGTCACTGATTTGTAAACATCCCATGAATGAGAAAGAGGCATAGATGAGATAAAGAATGACCACAAAGGGTTTGACATAGGTGTTGGTAATCCACTCTGTGTAGTGCTCTCGGAGGAAGTGCTGGATGAAATGATTCTGGTATGGGACGCTGTCATGGTGTGTGGACAGGTCGTGGCCATCGCTCATCATGGTTTTAAACCACGTGGGCTGGCGGTCCAGGTACTCCACTGAGGGGATCTTACAACAGAAAACACTGTGATAGCGATTCTGTTCGAGCTGTCCGGCAAACACCAGGCAGGAGCCGTAGAAAGAGAACACGTAGAAGTAGTTGACCAGGATTGCCACGCACATGCTTTGGCAGAAGATTTTCACTGACTCAATGTTGGTAAATGGGCTAGCTCCCATGCCAAACGTGATGATGTAGAGTGAGCTGGTCATGGTGTAGCACACCATCACGTCAGCAAAAGCGTCCGCCACGCGTTCCTTAAAAGGCAGGTTTTCCCTTGTTCTCCTCCAGCCTGCCAGCAGCTCAAACACACCTTTGGTTCCATGACCTAGAAGACAAGAGAGAGATGTGTTAGCTTATGTATATCCAAAGTAACAAGGTCTGGATAATTTGCCTGTTTGCATGATGTAATCATCCCCAAGATATGAAATCGTGTCTGTCTGAAAGATTTTAGATGCACAACATTTTATACCACAAAGTAAAATGGTTGAGTGATTGAACGGAACCGCTATGCTGTAACTGAATTTGGAAAAAAAAAAAAAAAACCCAAACAAACACTTTTTCCTTTTAGCACTTATAGAAAAACCAAAACCAGTGACTTTGGGTGAAGTTTTATGGCAGCGAACACCTGGATTAAGACCTGCTAATTACCAGTGTTTGCTTGTTTGTACTCTGGAAAGCATGTTTTGATTTTAGGCATTCAGACTCCTGGAACGTGTTTCCGTAGGGGGTTGAATTGATACATTTTCAAGGACTGGAGAACACGAAACTCTTCTGGTTAAATCATTAGTGCAAAAGTTGCCTTTCAGTATAAAACTGCTAATCACTTGATTTTCCCACATGTACTGCCGTCTACTGGTGACGTCATGCTTTTTTCCACAGAACCGGTCGTGCATTACACGGCGAATTATTGTAACACTGAATTTTCAATTCTTGAAATATACGATATGATTTGAATCTTGTGACATTATTTTGTTATTGCAAATCATTTTTTAATTTGCGATCAACCAGTTGGTGTCCCAGTTTACTGCAGTGTGAATAAAAGCAGTGAGTATATGAGGGCATTTATGAGTCCCAAGAGGCTGCACCCAGTGCACCCTTATGTCAGAGATTAAACAATGTACCGATGCTTATGGCATTTTACCAGCAGGAGCAAGACTGCTTAAGAGTGTTCGCATGTTGAGCCAGATTAAAAATCGAGTTGACTTCTTTAATAGAGACAAGCTTTCCTTTTCTCTTCATATATGAGATAGAGTCGTTCACCATCCTCTCTACCATGCATCAGTAAACAGCATCCAAAGCTGTCTGCAGCAGGCCCATTCATGTGAGCCAAATCTGTGGGATTTTCACCAGTCAGAAATATAGACATGAATACACAGCGTTCAAAGGCATATGCAAAGCATAGCGCAAAAACCTCCCACACTGGAACACCCGCCCACCCACGCACACTGTTCATGTATTTGTAAAATGCCCGAGCTGGACTACTGCGAGCGAGTGTATTATGAATTTCTGAACACTCGAATCAATTTAATGTTCCTCCACCATGTAAATATTTCAGTGCCGGTGAACACTGGATTTGGCTCATCCTTACGTTTCGGTGCCAACATCAGCTTTAAAATGTTCCTTTCAAATCTAGCAGGTGGATAGAGAAGTAAAGGGGGATTGCTACCCTTGACAGCATTATAAATTTCCCCTTGTTTGACACAGAGGAAAAAAAGTTAATTAACTATAAAGGATTAGGCCTATGTAATGAGTCGGCTAGATGGCTCTTCCTGCTTTTAGTTTTATTAAGCTGTGCAGCACGTCAATTAGTTAGTGTCAGTTGGTTTAGAGGGTGTGGAGAGAGAGGAAATTCACGCCCCTGGTTTTCGCAGCATTACACCAGGGGCGTCCGCATGCGTTTCCCTTCACCAGTTACCAAATAGAATGTTAAGTAGCGTGCCATTTTCTAGACATGATAGGAAAAGCTCTGGGATTCATTACAATGATTGATTACTGGCAGGTGGAGGTGGATAATAAAAATGAGCCCATCTGGTAAAGTGTCCCTGGTTAGCATCAGTACTAACAGAATATGTTTTTATTACTACACCAACCAGCACTTTTTGTTTTATCATCTTTATTACTGGCGTAGATGGACACTTAAGTACAAGTTCCTCAAATTTGTGCTCGTAGCTTGTATAATCATGCAACTTTACGCTTCTACAGTTGCTTTTTAACTCCACTTTTAAATGAGCGATACGGTCATATTGGTCCTAGTGACAGTTGCTAATTTCTGTATAGATTTTACATTCAAAACATATATGAGGGTTTGCTGCAGATTAAACTCCACAGCGCATTCAGTTTATTTCATTACCTCTGCTTTTTTTTTTTTAATAGTAACTTTCTATTTCTTTGTTTTTGCCAAGAGAGACTTTTACATAACGATGTTCTGAAGTGATAAATGACACTAAATGCGCTCAAATGAATTATTCTGGAAAGTGTGAATGTTTTAAATGGATTGGTTACGATGCAGACAGATCAAATGGTTGACATGTTAGACTAATTAAATTCAAACTTGTAATTCTACAGAAAAAGGAATGAAGATTAGATGTTGGATAAGTGGAGCTTATGCATGCGCTTATGTGCTTTCTCTATTATTTTTTCCACCAAATTGGTTTCAGGTTGTTTTGTTCCAGAACTCACCTTTACAAGCTATATTCAGGTAGAAATGTGTGGACATTAGATCTATTGTTTGGTTTCCTAAACCCCAGTTGGATGTCTTAAAAACGCCTTTTCTTCGTCTAGCCAACCGTCTAAAATATTAAATTTCAACCCACATAAAACAGAATCAAATATCAGCTTATCAATAAAAAGCAGAACAAAACCTGCAAAGAGAAACAACACCCAAGCATCAAAAACAACAGAAAAAGATTGGGTGCTGTGTTCTTTATGTTCAATCATGTTTTGGATTTAATGCCAAACAGAAATGTTCTGACTGTCTGTTGAGTATGGAGTGTACTTATGTGATGATATATTAGCAAAACCCTTCAAACAAACTAGATTTAGGCAGCACAGAGACAATAATGTTGCTCGTGTTTTGATCAAGTCTCCCTTCTAGTAAGAGCAGAACTCATTTTATCACGAGCAACACTTGGGAGTCTTCACACCTGTCTTTTTTTTCTCTGTGAAACTACCTGTCTTTGAAAGCCTTGCTGCTCCAAAGTGAGAAGAATCCCAATTAGAAGGGATGAGAGAGAAACGAAAGACTGCAAGCGAAGATCAAAAACAGCGACACGCTCGCTGGGGTGAAATATATTCACACCCATGTCGAACTAAGACAGACGCTCCGTCGGCCAGCATGTGTCGAGCTGAGCATCGAGGAGAGCAGCTGCATCTCTTCGTGTTTAGCAAAGAAGTGTTGCTTATTTACATTTTTCCCTGCATCAGTCAACATTTTTGACACGAGGGCTCAATTCTAACAAGGGTGGAAGCAATAAATGCAAATTTTTGGGGAACAGCACCTTCTCCAACTTAGCTACGTCGCAGCTTGTGATCCTACGTCTTTGACTTTACACAGCACATTTCTAGTGAGGGCGTTACATAAGGTTCACTTGATTTAGTAAATCGCTGTAAATGATGGATGTTTTAATAGTTAACTGTATTTTTTTTTTTAACAATTTACTGTTATTTTACAGATTTCCCTGATTTTTTGAATTACAGATAATAACTAGTAAAATCACAGAAAAAAGCATTAATTTACAAATTAATCGTTCTACCAAAATGTATATATTTTTTCTAAATAGTAATGTGTCCTTTTACAAAGTTTGACCATAAAAATACACTTTTTTTTCTTTTTTTGCTGTGTTTAAATGAGCTAAAAATATTTTTATTTTAGAGATATTCCCACTTATTTAAAGGAAATATTATATATAATGAAGATGGAGAAATGGTGAATAATATTTTAAACTGTTATTTTATAGATTTCCCTGTTTGAGATAATAACTAATAATATCACAGACAAAACAAAATCTGTATTATTACACACAATTTATTCTTTTACAATGCACAACCATTAAATTGTACAATTTTACTGTATTTAAATCTGCTAAAAAAACAAACTTATTTTACAGATATTGTATGTTCACTGGTTTTACAGTTCTTGCACATGACAGTATTCTACCATTTTGTTTTCACTTTTTTAAACATATTTTTAAAATTGTATTTCTGTTTATGGTTTTATTTTTATAGTGGAAATACTTAGTAAAAACTTAGGAGTGACGTGATGCACAAACTTGTAATAGATTTATGGTTGGCTGCAGCTCACTCTCGGAGATGAAAACTTTATTCATCGGCCCATCATAGAAAATGAAACAAAAATAGCCTGGTCAGTGTGGTCAGTGCAGGAACTTTAATCAATGAGAAAGTGGAAAAAAGCAGGAGGGAGAGGAACACGTGGCTGGAAGCATGACTGCTGCTCAATGCTAATCAGCTTTGGAAGAAACCGACAATTCTGTCACTGTCTGAAATATGCTGAACTGAACGTCCAGATTCTAAGTTTGGCCCTTTTGCCTGTTAAAATGAATGGATGACGAAGGACGGGTGGGGGTGAGGTAACGCAGCAACAGAGGCAGAGCCGGCAGATTGCATTCCCATTAGCCACGATTATTGCAGTGATAAAACTGAACCCGTGTCACTGTGATGTCCCCGACACAAAGGCACACACAGTATGACTCCCGTCTTAGAACTTTACAGCCACGACTATGAGTCTGCAGGGAAGACCGCACTCTCATTTGCTGCTGCTCTCGCCATCCTCACCCACACACATACACCCACACACAAACACAGCAAATGAACAAGTCTGCCTTCTTTCACCTCCCTTTTTTTCCTCTATATATGAATCTGCAGGTGGTGGAAAATACTTTTGGCAGTGAAGGACTTCAGCAGTCAGTCTTCATGCAATATCTGGATTGCTGAGTGTTCAAACTGAGGACTGTGTTTGGATAATAACAGACTCTTTACCACAATTTCAACCCAGAAAAGAAAGAATCAAAACCTGCTTTTTGAGCTTTATGCTTTGACTGTTTCCTGACTGTAGCATGACCATCAACAGATGAACATAAGGAACATAAACACTCAACACACTCCTCCTTTGCAGGGTACCAATATGACTTTCTTAAACTGGACTCCTCACAATCCGTCATGATGTTTGTCATTCAGTTTAATGAAGCACCCTGCATACAGGTGTAGTTATGGATGGACTGAAATGTTTTGTTTTTTAAGGCCTGTTACGAATATTTGCAAGTTACGAAATGGTATTTATTGCAGCTAATATATATACTAAATGTTCTA